CTGCTCATTCGTAGCAGCACTGTTGCTCCCTAGGCCGCCAGTGCGTGGCTCCCCAGGCCGTCGGTGCGTGGCTCGCGGCCGCGCTGTTGCTCCCCAGGCCGTCGGTGCGTTGCCCCCCTCCTCCCCGCCCCACCACCTCCTCCCTGCTGCTGTACCATGCACAAGTTGTGCCGTCGCTGGATGACGGCGCCAAAATTCAAAGCGCTCCAGAAGTTCAAAAGTGGGGAGCGAACCTTGCCACCTGTTGTTTTAATGGGAGCGAAACTCAGCATCCCGTTTGAAAGCGGTAACTCATCCAAACGTGGGCCGTGGTGCAGCCGCCAAGAGGCAAGAGCAACGCGCGAAAAATTTGAAAGAAGGTTCYTGCTTTTTTTTTCCAGGAGGACCTCGACCTTTTTTTTTCCAGGCAGGTCGACGGCGGGACTTGACATTTCGTGCGTGCACCTTCGACTTTTTTAGGCGGGTGGACATTTCGTGCAGGGATTGGGGGKGTTGGGGGGCGGAGGGGGTCCTCATGGGTTGTCCTGGGTCTGTGGGTCGGGTGACCCAGGCCTAGCAGTCACCCACCTGTCACCCACCCACTTGTGTGACCCAGGCCTAATGTTGACCCACCTGTCACCCACCCAGGCTGCCTGTCCTTGACCCGCCCTCAGCCCACCTGGGTCACCTTATCAAGACCCGCACCTGACCCAATGTCCTCGTGGGTGGGGTGGGTGCAGGTGGGTGCGGGTGTGGGTACCCGGTGCTCATCTCTGCTGGCTATGGTGGAAGGGCCAGACATCTGGAGGGCTCCCTCAATCCATGCATCCTGTGCAATCTTTGCACTGTGATCAAGGCGTTCTTGGTTGTTTCCTTCTCCTTGTCCTTTCACAGTTGTAATCTAACATGCAATGTGCATGACACATTTACACTGCTAGGGGAGAGTGCAGCGAAGGTATGTATGTTTGGGATCTTCGTGCTCCAAACGTTTATTGCGACAAATACTGCTAGGACTGATTCTGGAGTGTTTGTTAGTGCATTAGTGTGGTCTTTTTCACAAAAAGTCCTTGTTTTTAGGGAACTTCTTTTTTTTTTTGTTTAAACACACTTATTTAGTAATTTGCAGATGCCATGCCTTCCCACTTTTCAAGGCTTTGTTTCTCCCGTCTTTCACTCTCAAAACCCTAGCTTGTTTTCAGTGTTACTTTGGTGGCATCTTGAATGTGATCATGCGTGTTGGCTTCCTGTTCGTGTTTTCAAATACAGAATCCTCTGTTCACAGATTGGCAGGTGCGGTTTGATGTGGATGTTGCTGAATGGCAACCTCTCTTGGGCTCGCAACGTAGAGATCGAGATGAATGGGGTGAATTAGAGCTTGATGGGTCAGAGGAGCTGCAGACAGTCCGCGTTCCCCCAGTAATGGAGGATGCGTCTGCTGGGACAGCGCCTCGAGGGCAGTGGATGGGTGGAGATTTTTCCCTCGATGCTGTATTGAGGAACAGAGAACATGGAACCGGAAGAAATGGAAATGAACCTGTTGTCAGTGGTGCAGACGAGCGAAGAGGTGCCGTGAATGTTAGGGCTGATTCACAGAGCACGGACGGTGCATCCCCTGATAGGGCCGCAAGGCCAGGAAGAGAGCATGGTGTTGGTATGGATGATGGAAACGGTGCTGTTCGGCATGAGTTTGCAAGAGGGGGCGCTGCCACAGGTATGGGTGCGAGGGGACCTCTGGAAGCAATGGGTGGTACCAGGTTGCAGCCGATGGCACAATTAGGGGGTGGTGAAGGTAATGGGGTCTGGGAACTACCACATTGGATGCAGATGGTCCATGGAATGGTCGTGCTGACAGGAGAGGGAGGTGGTGCTTTTGGTCCTGGCACTGCAGCTTTGGGAGCAGGCCTGGGACATGGGCTCGCAGCAGTCGTGGAGCGCCGTGGGATGTCTATCAAAGCTCTGCAGTTTGCATCGGTATGCTGCCATCCACTGTTGTCCACCTTCCATCCATGTTTCTGAATTATGGCAGTGCTTAGACTGTTCCCGCTGTGTTCACAGACCGTTGGAGTTGGAAGATGTAAAGCACATCCTCCCTGCTTTCCATGAGTCTCATCATTTGTATGCGATAACGCTTTCTGCAGCGCGCTCAGAGAATGGAAACCTCTAGACGTGCTCCTGTTTGCAGGCACTTGGTGGTGAGGCAGCAGGGGGGGGGGGGGGGGGGGGGGGGGGGGCATGCTGGCAGTGCTGACAGATGTATCCACGGGATTGTTCTTGAAGGGGGGGGGGGGGGGGGGCATGCTGGCAGTGCTGACAGATGTATCCACGGGATTGTTCTTGAAATACTAAGGGCTTACTCGCATGCTGGCAGTGCTGACAGATGTATCCACGGGATTGTTCTTGAAATACTAAGGGCTTACTCGCACTAGGACTTCTTATAATGTATTTGATACACAGATTCCGTCGAAAGCATCCTTGTGCGGCACCCAGTTGCATTGGCATGATCTTGATGATATATCCCCTTCACTGGCCAACATTTCCTTGCACGGAATGGAGAATGCTTTGAACGAGTGAGCTCAGCAACAGGCGGCCGAAGGATGAGTTATCCTAGTAAGATACGCCGATGATTTCATTGTTCTTCACAAGGCTCGAAGAGTTGTTCAGGGCGCTCAAGGGTTCCTATCACAATGGCTCCAATCCATGGCCATGCACTTTGTGCCTGATCAAACTCTGCACGAGTCAGTTCAATAGCGTGTGGTTTCACTTTGACCCAGACCCCTGTAAGAGGGTGGTAACGTGAAAATAATTTTACCTATCAGAAATTGAACTCGTGAGCTTTTTATTAGCATATGCATCTGGTTTGTACCAGTCAGCCACCGAGCAGTTGTACATTTAGCAGAACTAGACAATCACATGCAGTCATTGTGCCCACAACCACTTCCTCTTCCCAATCGATGTGAATCGTATCTTACCTTGCGTGATTAGCTTGCTGAGCTGAAGTTGTATGCAGTCCTTGTGTCCACACACCCCTTCCTCCATATGGATGTACACCTTTTCGTCCGTATGGATGTACACCTTTTCCTCCATGTGGATGTACACCTTTTCGTCCGTATGGATGTACACCCTTTCCTCCATATGGATGTACGCCTTTTCGTCCGTATGGATGTACACCCTTTCCTCCATATGGATGTGAACTTTGTGAAGTGTCTCTGAGCTGAGGCTGCCTTGTGTGTGTGGCCATGCTCTTTCGTCAAATGTATGCATGGCAATTAGAGTTGTGTTATGTGAAAAATTGCCGCAAGTACAGCTATAACTAGCGTGCGGCATGTCCAGGATAACATGGTATTTTCCAATTTGAGCTCTTATTGGCACTGAAGGTGGATTGAATCTGAGCCGCTCAGTACCGGCGTTGCAGATCAAGCCTCAGTCAGGAAAGAGAGATGCAAGCTTGTGTGAGTGGGCCCTTCGCCTGGGTGAAGCAATCGATACCTTATTGTACAGTCATCTCATGGCTCATGGCTGTTTGTTGCAAGGAGGTCAGCAGCCATGATATGACTGTACAATCAGGTTTCAACGGTTTCACACGCGTGATGTCATATGATGCCATACGATGGCCGTTGACACAGTTCAACCTCTTGTTAGTGGGTTGAGGTCCTGTCTGAGCTTCTGTATTTTGGGGCGTGCTTGCCGATATCAAGGTCTTGATATGACACGGCAAGTTCGCTCGTTGGATACAGATGACCATGCAGCAGTAGGAAACATGATTGCTAGGATTGAGCCTGCTGCAATCTTTGGTACTCAAATGGAACGTCATATTGGAAAACATCTTGATATACCCTGTGGAGTTATTTCTGCTCCAGTTCATATTCAAAATTTTCATTCCGATTTATGGCCGTTCTTTATATGTTGTCTTTTGATATCCTTGCTGGCAATGGTGAATCAATCGTTAGTTAGTTTGGATGTATAGAGTCTATATATGTATCCCCTTGAAAGATTCATTCCCACCGAATGCTATTGCTGCATATCATTGATGCAACTTATGTGTGCAGTGCATGCTGTTGCGATATCTTATATATGTAATGACTGTATGCTGTAGTTGGTCTGCGTTTGCCCGTTAGATCTGTCCTGCATCCATGATGCATTTTGGCGAATAAATACAGCAAAGCTTGCAGTATTTTCTGGATCAGAGGGTGGGGGTCGTCTTGCGGAGCATACCTGTGGAACTGTTCACTGCCAACGTTCGCAGCTGCCTCTCTAACATGTGTGTGTGTGTGTGTGTGTGTGTGTGTGTGTGTGTGTGTGTGTGTGTGTGTGT